TAGATATCAGAAGATGAATACTTGCTGACAGACCGTTATTCACTGTTGTCAATTATTGGCTTACAGGGATATGACTGGTTTCATGTCAGAATACGGTTAAGGAACCACTGAGAACCACGGAGTAGTGGACAACTGTTTCTTCCTAGTTTGGAACTCTTCAGCAGTGCGCACCAATTATCTTACCGGGGATCGAACTCAGGACCTTCAGATCACGAGATCAACCCAATGATCATCCAGTCACTAGGATGGAATCTAATTTCCCATGAATTATAACCTCCAGTTGATGTCATTCACGAGTATTTATCCATACTGCTTTGACTGTTAATACACTTCGTAGTTTGTGCTAACTAACCTCCTACCTATTCGATTCGCGAGCCTACTGTTCAAAACACTAATAGCAACAACAACACAATACGACACCACCGAACCTGCAATGCATGCAGACAAGAAGAGAAGACAGACATCTGACGCATAGAACTTTCGCTGTCTCAAATCAACAGGGAAAAAAGGTTGACAGCAACTGCGTGTATATATGCTTTGGATGGCCTTGAGAGACACTAATTATATTGATAAGTTAAGACACTTAACAACCAGTAAGGTTCTAAGGTCATAGTGTAACAACAGAAGGCATGGGCCAGTCAACAGATCGTTTATTTAGGAAATCAACATATACTTATATATTTTCATGTACATTATTATAGATTATTGTAAGCAAACAAACACAGTCTTCTGATTGGCGGTTTCTCACTGAAAGTTATTCTTTCATCTCTTTGTGGCTGTTTCTTGAATGTCAGATCATCTATATGCTAATTGCATCCGCCTACGCAAAGTCTGCTGTGATTGGTTGTTGAGTCAGTCTTTGTTCATATTTTTCTCATGACCAATATTGGGGACGTACACATTGACGTAAATTACTATCTACCAATTTGGCTAGCAGCCAGCCCTCACCACAACAGCTGTGTAGGGAGGGGGAATACAAATGGATAAATGTTGTATTTCAGAAAAATTAGGTCCATATAACATATACAGTCGGTCTGGTGGACCATACTGGTCCATACCTCTCACTAGCTGAAGAGTCTTCGATTAGGGCGAAGCGGCCATTCAATGATGTTTGGTTTTCAATGGTTCACCAACCACCTTAACCAAGTGTACAGCAAGAATGAATACCTAAAAATGAAATTTGTTGGCAACCGTTGATGACGATTGTTAGCTAGGCTTGTGATTTACTTACACATTAAAATCATTTCACTGTAATCATTCACCTTTCAGTTATTTTCCTATGTCTTTTTCTTTTAACATTTCAGTCGTTTGCAAGACTACTTTCAGGCTTGTGTCGTTCTGGTGCTTGGGGTTGTTTTGATGAATTCAACAGAATTCATATATCTGTTCTATCAGTTGTTTCTAGTCAAATTAAATCAATTCAGAATGCTTTAACAGCAAAAGTTTCAACATTTCAAGTAGGTTTCAGTGAAAATTGTTTTGTATTCTCACAAAAATAAGTTTTGTTATTCAAATCGTATTGTGTTTAAACTAGTTTATAGGCTTGTAACTTATCTCTTCCTGAATACGTTTATTATTATTATTGTTCCCTTCGGTTCCTAGTGGAACATAGGGCTTCAACTGCTTCAACGTCTCCACTTGCTTCTGTTTTCTGCTGTACTTTTCACCTTCATCCATGTTAGTCCTCTTCACACGATTTCCTCCATGTCACCCTTGCACTGACGTCCCACTCGCTGCTTCCCTTTCGGGTTCCACTCGAGCTATGGCCTGACGTGCGATGTCGCCCAGCGTGGCTTCCTCAGCGAGTGTCCAATCCATCTCCACTTTCTCCTGCATATTGTTTGTTGCTGAGCGATTGGTTCTTGTTTTGTTTGTTCCCATAGTTTCTTGTTGGTGATTCTTTCCGGCCATCTGATCTTGAGTATAGAGCGAAGATAGTTGTTGATAAAGGTCTGCAACCTGTTGGAAATATGTTTACAGGCTAAAAATTAGGGTGTGAAAATCAGCTGCATTCGGTGCTCTAAACAGATGATGTATAGAAGGACAATTTTAAGCTTTATAATTAAACCATCCAACTGAGAGAACAAAACAAAACCAAATAAAAAAAGTATCACGGCAAGTTTGCGGAGTGCACATGTGATGAGAAAGTAAAACATTTCGACTGAATAAAGTAACCAGCAGGAGTGCTTTAAAGTTTAGTAAAAGTTTATTATCACTGAATGGTGAGCTGTGTACTTTGAAGTTTTCTTAGTGATCAGGTTGTCTTGTATCTCATAAAGTCAAAGATGTGTAAGTGAAAACCAAGAATTTGTCTAAAGAAGAAGAAGTGAAAATCGGGAGGACTTTAGGTGGATATAGATAAGCGAGGGGTAACAAAGATGTCCAGCCAGCGATAGCAAACAAACCAACGGGGAAAAATCTCTATGAAGTCGTTTCTGTCACTTACTTGATCTTGGTCACATCGTTTTAACTACAGATAGCACAGATGAGGATTTCAAAGTCAGTCGGGACTGGATTGGAAAATCAAGTGTAGAACTTGGGCACTGTGATAGAATGTAATTTCATATTAGATGAGTTTATTTTAAATATCACACAGAGATGCAGTATTAACAACTGGATGATGCAGTTTCAAGCATAAATTATTACTGGCCATAATCATATCAATTTAGTCACTCGGTTACATAATTTGTCTTATCCATATACTTTTCCTTCTGCCTATCCAGTTTCCCTTTGTTGTTTATCGCCACATTCCATATCCCCAGTATAGGCATTGCGTCATTCCGATTGAAGGTGTGCAGTGCTGAATCGGTGAAAAAAGCACCGGTGACTAACCAATCTCTCCACCTAACTATACTACCCTTTAATACTCACGCTGTCCCGCCCGCTTTTGTGATTATATTTTATTTTTTATTATAGCTTGACTCCAGACAGTGTTTTTGATACAAGTATAGAATTTTCAGCATGTGATATCGGTAGCCCAAATTTAGCAGGCGGACGATTGATATCAGGTGTGTGTTGGCTGGGGATCGAACCCCGGACCATATGCATGGTCGGCGAGAGTCCTAACTGTTATGCCACCGACGCACATGCAGGTGAATGCAATGCAATGGCTGAACTTTTTTCTAAGTTACTTAACTAAACAAGGTCAATTATTCTAGGTCTAGCTAAATTTTTATTTTCCAATAATCTAGTTGACTGAACTATGTAATTGACTTCATAGTCAGCATTACACGGTATTTGATAAATTATATTATTTCGGATGTTTTGGGTCCTTCAGCCGACAAAGTTCATCTCTGAGTAAGGTGGCTGATCGGTTTAAATACCAGCCTGACTAATTCCAGCCTCATTGAGAATCCTACAAAAGGCCTCTGACGCTCCTTCGGTATACGGGAGTAGTACAGAGGCTTTGAATTCTTTATTTTTTTTGTCATCTTGATTGCTAATCTCGTTTTTTCTATGATTCTTCATACATTTCTGAATAAATTCTGGTGGGTAGTGAGTTATTCACTAGTAATATTTTCTATATTTGTTTGATTTCATTATTTATATCTTCTGACTGACCACTAGTTAGGCTCATGGCTCGATTATGCAGAAGTTTAACTAAACATACCTGTACTGCTTCTGGATGGAATGAATTAAAGTCTAAGTACTTATTAGAGTGTGTGTCGGTTTCCTATAAATGCTACTATCCATCTAACCCACCATCTTGTTTTCGTTTTATTCTACAGTCTAGCATGGCCAACTCACCCTATTCGTTTTCTAACTCAAAAGTGAATTGGATTCCGTCTGCTATTGAGTTTATATGTGTGGAAAAAATGAGGGATATGTTCAGATTTCAACACAGTAGAATGTGTCATCCACATATCTCCACCGTAACCTAGGAGCAGGATTAGGCGTTTTAAGAGCCTTATGTTCCCAATTATCCGTAGATATGTCTGCTATTATTGGTGATATTGGTGATCCCATTGCCACCCCATTCGTTTATTCATATAGTTTATTTTGAAACTGTTGTGGAGATCTACCGAACTTAGCATTCAACACAAGGAACAAGATCCAAATTTTCAAGTCATGTCAAGCTAATGCTTCTATATGGTTGAGAAACTTCGAGCAAGCGTCATCAAAAGCATTTCCAACAGCCTGCTGCAGACTTTCATGAACAGCCGCCCAGTTTGTTGACTATAGAAGATCAGATGACAGGAACTCTGGCAGTGCAGTGAGCTGACTGAGAAATTACTTCTCAGTAAATATGCAGAAGGAATGGATTAGACATACAGTATGATTCGACCTATAAGTGTCACCTCAAACCGGGCAATGGACAACGAATGTGGAGCCATCGTTTGAGTGAGGATCTGAGGAGGCCATGTGAATAGGAAATCGTGGTACCTGTTAAAAAAGAGTGCAGAGAAAATAGTGGAATAGTGATGCACTGCAGAGGCCCTATGTTCCACTTGGACACTTAAGGGATGAATAATAATGAAATAATAAACTAACAGTGTATGATCAAATGTCACTAGGTATACGCTGAGGACATCTTCAAATGGCATCATATTCCAGAGAAGCTGGAGAGTGGAGCTTAAGCGAGAAGCGACTACTTTGGTTTGAGTTATGGGGAAGGTCAAGTAAAGAGGAAAGAAGAGCTTGTTGGCAGCTATGGAGCTAGATAAAAAGAACAGTGTACAATGGAGATGTACTGCTGAAGTCTTGTGTTCCTCTCCGGACCCAAGAGATGAATAACATAATAATAATAATAATAGTGTGATCGGTACTTTGTCAACACTCCTATGAACATAAATTATTGAAGCGTAGTATTTCTCATAGAGTTAAGTAAGGAATCCGCCACAAAACCTGCCCCAACTATTAGAAGTTGAATACTCCTATAATAATTCAGCATTATAAATAGTTTTTTATTCTTATTTTTTTATTCTTATTTTAAATGTGCGTGTTTCCAGTTTGAAGGTTCAGAAGTCTCACTTAATCGTCGCGTGGGTATATTCATTACAATGAATCCTGGTTATGCTGGTAGAACAGAATTACCGGAATCGTTGAAAGCTCTCTTTCGACCAGTTGTTGTAATTGTACCAGACTTAGAATATATCTGTGAAATTATGCTGTTTTCACAAGGATTTTTAACAGCCAGAGTAAGTGCCATTTGTATTACTGATTTTAGTAACATTTTTTTAAAATTGTTATGACATTTATGGTTGTATTTCTGTACAAAGTTCCACCATGGTCTATCAGTTTAGCCAAGTTTTAATCCATATTTTGGGTCAAAAAAGCATTTATTGAATAAATTCATAATTTTTAAATTATACTATATGAGGTTAAAACTCACCACAATTCCCTTTAGAGGTCAAAACTATTCGGATCACGTTATGTCATCTACTTGATGACATAAGTGGTAATCAGGAAAGCAAATAAAATAGTATGTTGGCATACACTACTGTTTGAAATGAACAGTTGAAAGCTACTCATTATTTATTTAAACGCAGAAAAAACTTGGTACAATATGGCACCAAGAAAGATGCGCCACACAATAATAATAAAACAACATAGATTAAAAGTAAAAATATAAGTAGAAAACGGATAAAAAACTTCATCTGGAAGGAAAACAGTCATATTTAACAAGTTCAAACAGTATTCGTTAACTATCATCAGGAAGGGAAGAAACAAGGAAATTGCAACACGTTCGCCATTGATTACGATTCTTCGCCATATCCGATAACGTTTCGAGCCATCGATTCGAGCTATCTCGCGGACCCCAACCAGGGAGTCGTGACGCACCAACCGATGCTAATCTAGCACAAATATCCTTCATCCCACGACTCCACGTCATGGACTGACCACCCCTCCGCCTTTTCCATCCCGTCCCAGGGTTAGCGAACAGAGACCTGTACGGAAGCCTCTGGGATGACATTCGCAGCACATGTCCAAGCCACCGGAGCTGGTGTTTCCAGATGACGACACTCAATGAATGGTGATCTCCACTGTGTTCAAACACACGCCGCCGAACCTCAGAATTACTCATGCGATGATGCCATCGAACGCAAGCAATCCTGCGGAGACAGCGATGATCGAATACGCAGAGTCGCCGCACATCCTCAGCTCGGAGAGGCCAGGTTTCACAGGCGTAGAGCAAGACAGCCCGCACCGAAGCATTGTATACCCGACCTTTGACAGCTAGGCTAACGTCACGACAGCGCCAGAGGTGGCTCAAGTTGATGTATGCCACCCTAGCCTTCATTATACGGTTGGAAATCTCATCCGTCACCCCTCCGCCAGCACTCACACAACTACCCAAATACACAAACTTATCAACAACTTCAAGCAGTTCACCCGCAAGAGTGAGTGCAGGTACAGGCTCCTGCCAATCTTGTAACAGTACTTTGCACTTAGATGGTGCAAAGCACATACCATACTTACAGACACTGACACTCACATCATTCAGTAATGCTTGCTGACCAGATCAAAGTCGTCTATACCCCACTGCTTTGTATTATCCATTCGCCTAGATAGCTAACCAGAATCCAGGTGGGGGTGGTGACTGATTCGACTAACTCAGACACAAATCAAACCATGTACAATACAGATGAGCTCAAACTCAACTTAATGAAATAATCTTTATCAAAAAATTGTAATTTTAAGGTCTGTTACATGCTGCTGATGCACTTCTCGATACAAACTTCAAGCACAGTTATTAATCCCTGTGAGATGTTGAATATGTTTGGTGTTTTTAGTTACTATACTGAGATGCCCACTGCCATATCTTACATTGGTTTAGGTGGTCATTCTTCAACCACTGGGCTGGGAATTCGAAAGTTGAAGTATCATTCTTAGTTGATGTTTATCAGAGAGAACCTTCGTTTTGTAGTGGTACTTGTCAAAAATGTATTCACATCAAATTATTTTCTCTCTCTACAGATTTGAAGACGATGTCAAGGTTACAGACTTTATCAGTGAGGATTACTGATGAGTGCCTGCTGCTTAGACAATTCTGTTTAACTCATAACAGGAATTCATTTTGTAGCATGTGCTAATGACAATGTTTATCAGCAATATATGTAGACGCAGATTGATCGGAAGGGGCCAAAATTGAATACAACATTTTAAGTAGTCAGCGGCTACAGAAGTAGAAGTTAAGAATACAATATTCAGCGAAGAGACTCTTTTCGACTACGAATTTATTATCAAGCTGTACATTCGTATATATATATATATATATATATATATGGTTTTTTTATTAAAAAATTATATCCGGTGAGGGAATTAGGTCAAAGGTGTGAATACATGAAATAATAATAGTATGAAATGCAATTAAAATATTTGTGATTATGATCATAGTTGAATGTCAAGTGGCAAAATAATTAATGTCGTATATAGAATAATACATAAGGTGTATAGGTGTCGGAAAGGGGTACATAATTATAAGATTAGTAGACGAATATAAAATGTTACATAACATGGTGTGAAATTTGATAAGACATAATTCAATATCGTAAAAATAAAAATGTAAAAATTAATAATTTTGGGTTTAAAGTGTCAAGTGGTTCAAGTGGAAACAATTCAGAGTGAGAATAGTAATAATAATAATGATAATAATATTAGTAATAATAGTAGTAATAAGGGAAGAGTACATAGAATAACTAAATAAACAAAATAAATAAATGTCTATCCCTCTACGGCCAAGACAGAAGTAGGGATTGTACATACTTCTTTTGTACACAAAGGTCTGGCTTAAAGTCCTGAATTGCCAAGGCCTCAGCTGTCTTTAGAAGTCTATAACGAAGAAAATGCGGCAAGTCAGCATAGATTTGGTAGATGATCTTAAAATCATGATCAGCGTTGGCAGAGTGACAGAAGTCGATCAGGTGTTCCAAAATAGAGCTTCGCACACACTTCCTTTCTCCCTTGTAACACAATGCTGGAATATGTTCTTGAATCCGTGTGGAAAGCGTCCTGTGACTATGGCCAATGTACCTTGTTCCACAAGAGCAGGTGAACTGATAGATGCACATGGAAGCGGCCAGACGGGGGTGCTTATCGTTTACGCAGGCCGCAAGTTATTCTCTACCTCTGTTGAAAAGAGTCTCTTCGTTGAATATTGTGTTCGTAATGCTACAATGGGAATTATTAAATTATTGAGAAGGAGAAGTGTTTATTTCTCACATTTGGATCTAGCTTACTCTGTGGTCAGGAAGTGATCTCAAGCTGTAACCTTCAGAAAATCAACAACCTATCAGAACAGTTTATTATCATCGTCTGACTTAGCCAACCATAAATATGCCTGAATGTGTGTACATATGATGTGACTTTCCTTGATTATAAAGACCATTACGAAGTCTCTCGCATTTTCCCATTACAATTTAAGATAACGTTAACATTCGAGTTTTACACTTGTGGGTAATAAGCTGACACTGTCATCAAGTTAATGTGACCACTAAAAGGCTTCGTAAAATAACAATTACACAAATAGTGGATTGAAGAATAAACAAAACAGACATTTTTTGCTTAGTTGAAAGTAAATTAATGACGCAAATGTTATTTCACTACAGCAACTTACTCATGTTACATTCACCTGGCTGTTCACTACTTGAATAAATTTGAAGTTTCTTTGCAAAGGTTTGATTGATTTCTGTTACGGTCATGGACTGATATCAGTTAGAGGACCGTTGAAAGGTGGGCAATGCTGGACATATGTCTCGTCCTAGTTTGAGAGTTTTCAGAGGTAAGTCATTGACTGCCAGGGCCCAGGTTATTTGCTAAACTGTGGACGGGCTTAGTCGGTTATCCAAAGGTCATGAGTTTGATCCTAAGTGGAATCATAAGTGCGTGATAATGAACAGTCCGAAGCTCTGTGGTTTTTAATGATTCTGTGACTGATGTCAATCCAAAAGTAAAATCTGAGACTGAAATAACTTGAATGGTCTGATGAAAGAGTTGTGCTCAGGGTGAACATGGAAACAAAATAAAACACGGAATCACGTAACGGTTTTAAAGGAATACAAGGGTTTTAAGCAGTTAGAAAAACAAGCAAACAAGCAAAAGTTAGGTCGGATCAACAGAGTATTTACTATGATAGTAGAAGTGGCTGAATAATTTTCTTTTCTATACATAACTCTGGTTCTTCCAACTGAATGGCTAGGGCTTATGCAATGTAAAGAAGACGGAAACGTATTGTCTTCGGCAGGTTATTCTTCAGTTTGTAGATTACTTTGAAGGAGGCGTTTGTTGAGATGGAATGACTAATGGTGACGAGATGTTCGATTATTGCACTCCTTATGCGGCCACTACTTCCTTACTGTAGCCATATAAGGAGTGCAATAATCGAACATCTCGTCACCACTGGTCATTCCATCTCAACAAACGCCTCCTTTAAAGTAATCTACAAACTGAAGAACAACCTGCCGAAGACAATACGTTTCCGTCTTCTTTGTATTGCAGAGCCGTAGCCATTCAGTTATAAGAACCAGAACTATGCATACAAAAGAAAATTATTTAGCCGCTTCTACTATCATGGTAACAACTCTGTTGATCTAACTTAACTTTTGCTTGTTTGCTTCCTTTTTCTAACTAATTAAAACTCTTGCGTAATTCCGTATGTTATTTTGTTTCCATGTACACCGTGAGCACAACTCTTTCATCAAACTATTCATGTTATTACATAACTCTTCTTTTACAATCGTTTGTGGCAACTCATCACTTTTGTTAGTACCCCTCTTATATCAACATCAAATTCCTCTGAACGCTGTTTGTATTACGTAACTCCACCAAAAACTTACTAATTCTCACCTGTTTAGTTAAAATAACCAAACTTAATGTACACATCCATACAAAATAACCCATATATATTTGCGATTGTCCAACTAAGAAAATGAATTCGCCGAAAGGAGACTCTTCGCTGAACTACTGGTCTTCTCTTTATTAATGTTCGAATGGGGATTTTTCATGAACTTAAATAACTGCATTCCTCTTTCTTGATAAGACTGATTGTTGATATTTTGAAACATATCTGTGGGCGTAACTTTGTACTTAACCTTTCTTTTTCTTCTTTTTTTCCTTCTGTGAAATCAAGGAATTAGCTAAAAAGATGACAGCTATGTATCGTTTAGCTAAAGAACAACTATCACAACAATATCATTATGATTTTGGTTTAAGGGCGTTACGCTCTGTCTTACTTATGGCTGGTACAATAAGACGAGAACATCCAACTGTCAAAGAAGATCATCTGTTAATGCGTGCATTACGTGACTCAAATATACCAAAATTAATTAAAGATGATACACCATTATTTATGGGACTTGTACAAGATTTATTCCCTGGTATGGAATTTGAAGCAGCTACTGTCCCACAAAAATTGGCTGAAGCATGTGAAAAAGTTTTAGAATCACATCGTTACACTTTAGTTGATGAACAGGTTAGTTTTTGAAGGAGAAAAAAAGTAGGAGTAATTCTATGTGATTATTGCACTGTTAAAATAATAGTATTAGTAAAAATAATATCTGGCCTAAATGTATGCAAAAGATATCCTGTCTTGTTACTTCATCGTTCTGACTAGCTGGACAATTAACCTGACAGTTATTTATCAGTTTTTGAAGTCAATGGAAAGAATAGGAGCATATATAAATATACCCGTCGCAGACAAATCTTTAATATTTGTAAACACTCCCTCCGACTCATTCTGTTGACTGTAGAAGCTTTAATATGGTTCACCGCCTCTGATTATAGGCTTCTGCGTTCTCTCTCTTAAGTTATGTTATGCAATATGATCAGTAGTATCGAGTTTAGGCGTGGAGTGTTGGTTAAGGATGAAATCCCCACCAATGAGGTCCTGAAGTTGCATCGCTTGAGATAACTGGCACACGTGCTATGCATTCTGAGCCATCGTACACATATCCTGTTTCCAGATTTCATCCATGTGGAAATGATAGAAATGATTGATAGACTTCAGTCTTAACCGACAACTAGTCAGTGTACCCAGTACAGTTCTACGAGAAGTTAGTTGTCATTCCGAATATGTCAGTGGTAACGACCTTGTCTGTATCACTTGGTTACAAGGGTTCGACTCTCAGAGGGGACATTAGAGTTACAGATTCTCCATGCTGATGACAGCTAACAAGTAGGAGACTTAGATGCAGAGATTCCTTCACCTTACGCCAACCCAGTTCACTGCGAAGGTGAGCCATCTCGCATGATGACCACACTGCAAACGTGACCTACAGAATTCAATTTCATGTCATTAGTTACTTCCTAGAGATCAAACAATGGACACCTAGTTTTTGATGTAGTTGTGTTCTCTGAACAGGATGGTTTATTTATGAAGCATTCATTGCCCTACTAGGCAACATCTTCACCGCATACTTCAATGTGAATTGAAGTGAGCTTTTAGATTTCTCCACGAGTCATCTCTCCTGGTGACCTTGAACGCGATTGGTTGTTTTTGTGTGTTTTCACACCCTCTAGGCTACTTGTATTGGCACTGATTGTTTCCTTGACCTGACGTTTGACTCTTTGTGTATGAGATTTCCTTCTTATCGATGGGTAAATTTTGTCTATGTCAATGTGTCTGTTGATTGCCGATTCACTGGAATACCAGGCTTCTAAAAATTCTCTAGCATTCTTGGTGTTTCCTCTGTCTAATATCTGAACGTTGCCCCATTTGAATTGATGTCCGTGATTGTCTGTATGTAGTGATATGAAGGATTGGATGTCATGTCTTTTGACAGCTAGTTTATGTTCATGGATATGAAGACGAAGGGGACGTCCACTTTGGCCAATGTAGGCAACTTATTTTGTAGATGATGTTGGCTTTATCTTCTTTCGCTGTTGAGTCGTTTGACTGACATAGAGCCAGCTGAGTGAAGTGATTTTGTTGGTTTGTGTGCGACATCAATTCCTAAAGGTTTGAAGAGTGTTGCAGTGATTTCCTTTATATATGGTAGGGAGATTTTCTTTGTGCTTTCCTTGGGAGCGTTCGATTTCGTAGGTTGGCTTGGGGGCATATGTCTTTTGATGAAGTTCCGTGGATATCCATTCATTTAGAAGATGTCCATGGACGTCTTCATTTGATTATTCTAGGTTTCTTTGTCATCAGTATCTCTAGAATACAACTGCTAAGCTAAAGTGAACTGTCTCATCACTTTTAGTGATTTTGAACTTTGAGGAGTGAAAAACTCAAGGTAGAATGTTATCTATCTTATAATTATTTCTCTCAGATTGAATATTTAATCTCTTATTCCATGTTTCTTTTTGAAAATAAATTTCAGATTAATAAAATCTCTCAACTACAGGATACTTTAAAAGTTCGACATGCTGTCATGGTTGTCGGTCCAACGTCTGGTGGGAAAACAGTTGTGATAAATGTTTATGGAAAAGCTTTAAAAGTGTAAGTTTACAATCAAAATAAAATGGGGATTGAACGAGATCTACAAGATCATTGTAGGATTTCTTTTCCAAAGAAGTCTAGAATGATAATTGGAAATTGAACTTTGAAATATATAATGAAAACAAAACACGTAGTTCAGCGAAGAGTCTCTTTTTTGGCGAATTCATTCACTGAAACTGTACAGCTAAGTGAATGTATTTGCCGAAAAGAGACTCTTCGCTAAACTACGTGTTTTGTTTTCAAATAATGACTGGATGGGGATTATTCATGAATTAATACATATAAGGCATAACCATTGCGTTAAACGTAAACCTCAGAATACATTTATTTGTTTGTAGTATATACTCTTGTATTAATGGGTAGAATTAGTGAATAACAAAAGATAAGCGTCAAGTCATGAGGTATGTCTGGGACAGTTGTCATCAAAAGCATTTTTAAGAAGGTGAGTCGAAATCTTCCACGATCAGAAATGAAGAACACTAGAATACTAGGAGTAGAGAAGCATGCAGTAGAACATAATTTGACTCCTACAGTGGGTATAGTTTAATCTTAGAATCAGAATTACTACAGACAAAAAATATAATGACCTATCAAATGAGATTTATTCATTTACATGGAAATGAACATTTATGATTACAGAACAGTGATGTAAACAAAATTAAACTAATTAGTTCCCTTTAGGACAAAGCAATAAGAAGACGTAATTTGTCTGAATCGTGTAATGTAGTATTTGCGCACAACACATTTCGAACAATCTGAGATTAATAAAGAGTTAAAAGGTGAGAAAATAGACTTAGGTCAAGTTAAAAGGTCAAAATAACAATGAAGATCACTAAACCAAATAACAGAGGTAATAGTACATCTACTATGGTATCAAAACAAAATTTACCAAGGAAGGTTTAATGTGATGACGAATTGTTTTTGAACGCATAAAGGTGGTTTAAACTTCCTAATTACTAGCTAGGGCTTCCACAAACTTTAGGATACGCCCCAAACATGTTTTATGGATGGGTTTAAAAGATGTGTAAACATCCATTTTATGTCTTGTCTCTATAATATGTTTCGCAATAGAAGAGCTAGGTCTCATGTTCTCACCATTAATGGGTTCTGAAGATTCTATTTGCTTCTGAAGCCATTTAGGAATATGATCTGAAGCCAGCCCTTACTTGCAGAGATCGATGAGTCCTCCCTATGTGTATGTGTGTCCACACGCAGATTCAAATTGGTAAATACAGTGGGATGTGACATCAATTTTCGCATGTTCGAAGGGCTTAGATGGATGGATATATTGGCTTCACATTCTCAATCATTATGATATTAGTTGCATAAAAAGTCTTTTTAACCACAACAGCGTTCAATCTTTGTCTAGTTATCAAGCTGTTATGATGACCCATATAGGGTAGCTTGATGTACACGTCTTTCTTAGGGGCGAGTTGTAGAGTGGGTCTTGGTGTTCTGACCACTTTATATCTCCTGATGAACTTGTCTGGATAATTATTATCAACCAGAGTTTGTGTCAACTTTCTTTCTTCTTCATCAAGTGTGTCTTCAGTGCATATTCGTTGGATTCTACTGAAGAGGCGTCTCATTAAGGCTGTTTTGTACCGAACAGGGCAGAAACTCTGATAATTAAGATACTGTCCTGTCCACGTAGGTTTTCTATAAATAGATCGTTTTATTGATCTATCAAGCCATCGACTAAGCAATATGTCTAGGAAAGATAAACAATTGTCTTCCTCTTCTACAGACGTAAGTGATATGCTATTCTGAACTTCATTCATTCGATTTGAAATTGAGGTGGCAGAACAAGGCTTATCACTTATGATTACAGTGTCGTCTACCTACCTTCTATGAAGTGGCACATTTTCGATTAAATCCTCCGATAAACTCTCAGTGTCCGATATATAGATATCTGCTAAAAGGGGCCCTAGCGGACTTTGCATAGCAACACCATCAACCTGGCGGAAACAATCGTCTTCAAATGTAAACCTAACATTGCTAGTACACAGAAGTAATAAATCCCTTAAATAAGATGTAACATACGGGATTAGAAAATTGTGTATGGAAATGTAATCACACAAAATGTCAATTGCTTTAAGTAAAGGCACATTAATGAATAAAGAGTTTACATCAAAAGAATACATATTTTTATCCATAATATTAATATCATCAAGATAATTAACAAGTTCAAATGTGTCTTTTAATACATACTTTCGGACAAATTACGTCTTCTTATTGCTTTGTCTAAAAATAAGCTACTTGTTATTAATAAGTAGTATAAAGCTTAATACAAAGAAAACATGATTCATGTTCAATTAAGAATTAACAGCCACATTGTCATAATCATAATCAAATAAAATAGTTGATCAATGTAACTTAACATTCTTTGTGACAGTGTCGAAAGCAGTCTTTTTTTCCAGTGAATACGAGCAGTAATAACTGCACATAGTATTAATGAGTAATAATAACTCTAATAACTGATCTCCACTGCAAAAGACATTCCTGTCTTGATTCAGTAGGCTAGTTGAAAAAAGTTTGACATTTGAAATGATTGGTGCTGTGTGCTAGCCTCACTGGGGATATCTTCGTCCATCAAAAACCTTAATATATTCTGAATCTGAAACAGCACTAGTGTTTTGTGACCTCAAAGTCAAAGGGACAACAACGAGGCTTGATTGAAGTGACTTTAGAGTTTTGTCTAAATGAATATAGATGTCTATGGTAGTAAAATTCTTACCTATCTGTCACAGCATTAGCATATTTTGAAGGACTCTTCATAGGTGTATCATATTTTTCCCCTGGAAAGAGGTTTAATCTCTGTTGTTTACACTGATGTTCTCAGGGAAATAAAATGTAAGGAATGATGTTGTGGACATTCAGTTATTGGTAAAGCTTAACTCAAATACTGATCTTCGTGATACATTGAAAGTTAGCTTGAATACACATTATGACAACACTCTCATAAAAGTCACAGTAAGCCACGTCACTATTATTTTTGTGGAAACTTGTGTGATGGAGTTACTATGTGAATGTATCATTTCTCACGCATATTGTGATTTAGTGTGTTGAGATCAATTCATTGTCTCACCTTGGACTTTGTCGGACCGCCAACCAATGAGAATAGCCACTGCAAGCCAATAAGAACAATCCATTCTCAAGGCTGTGAGCCGACTTTATTATGGTAAAGAAAATGGATAAATATCATGGGTTGTTTCTTAAGAGGAATAATACACTATCTTACAGTCACAGGCCAGCCTTTGTTTTTTGACATTTGCATGGCTCAGTGAATCGGAAGGTACAGCGGACAAATAGACGTATTAGCGTACCAGTCGAGTTCATTACCGTTAGCGTAATTAACAGGCGCAGACATAACAAAGTAGCGACGGGTTTATTCAGTTCAGTTCAGTCATAACAAAACTAATATTAACAGGATGAACTGATTTGTTAATAATGAGATTTGCACTTTTGCAGGGATTTTGTCTAATCTCAATGTGGGTTTTGTCATGCATTGATATCAGTTAGAGATTCGTTGATGGCGTTGACTACGTTAGGTAGCAGTGCCTCTATATCGAGGATTTATTATTATTATTGTTCCCTCGGGTTCCTAGTGGAACATAGGGCTTCAACTGCTTCAACGTCTCCACTTGCTTCTGTCTTCTACTGTACTTTTCACCTGCATCCATGTTAGTCCATACTGTTTCAACTCCTCTTCACACGATCTCCTCCATGTCACCCTTGCACTGACATCCCACTCACCGCTTCCATTTCGGGTTCCACTCGAGCTATGGCCTGACGCGCGATGTCGCCAAACGGCCTCCTCAGCTCAGCGAGTGTCCAATCCATCTCCACTTTCTCCTGCATATTTGTGAGGCGACTGGTTCTTGTTTTGTTTGTTCCCATACTTTCTTGTTGGTGATTCTTTCTTTCCGGCCATCCGATCTTCAGTATAGAGCCAGTGAAGACAGTTGTTGATAAAGGTCTGCAACAGGCTGTTGGAAATATTCTTTGTGACACACTGGCT